AACTCACGAAGATCTGTGGTAATGGCTAAAAGATCATGGTGTTCCTTTGAGTCAGATAGTTTCTAGACCTCAGTTGATTCTCAGACCCAAAGTCCACTGATGGAAGAAGATTCTCAACCCCCTTGAGGAAGGACACTGTGACATTACTGCAAGTATAAAGAGTGACGGTTTCCCCAGTTCTTCTCCAAGAAGACCTATGGATATTTGGTAGAATAAAGACAATGCCCAGACTATGTAAGGGCTATTGGCTACAGGGTCTTTGCCGACACTATTAGGAGATTCAAAGCACCATGATAGACCCACTGTTAGAAGGAGAGTCTGCAGAGGCAAGGTAGCAAATAGAGGTCAGGACCATGACCTTCCTACAGGCCACGAAGCCTCCTGTGGTCATTTTCTGCATCACTGAGTGCATAATTAGGATAAAGGCATTTAGCATTTATCCTCACCTTTTTCGCTAACCCATGAAATAAGAGTCATAACGGGAAGAAAGGCAAGCTTTATGCTTCTAATCTATCCCTTCCCCATACAACACTATAAGTCAAAGTAATACTACCTCTGGGAGGAAAGGCAGTTTAGTATCTTCCTCAACATCTTAAAGAATGCAAAATGGCTGGTCCCCAATAAATTCCTCTTTACTTTACCGGTCTAGCCCCTACAAACCCCATAGGGGTCATAGGAAATGATAGTGGACTCATGTAAATTGCAGCTGTGCCGGATGTGGTATCTTTAATCAAGACACCATATTAAGAAATTAACAGTCTCTGGAATATAGTATGCAGCTATTCATTTGCAAAAGTTCTTCTCTGTTTTCAGCCAGAAGCAGTTTATGTTCGCTTGGGTTACACAGCAGCACACATTTGTGGCCTTACCCCAGGACTTTGCTAACTCCCCCGCTCCCTGTACTAATATAGACCAAAAGGACATTGATTATCTGAGCATTTTATAGAACATCATGCTAATCCACTGTATTGCTGATATCATGTTAAATGACCGGGGAGAAGGAAGTGGTGAGTCCTCTGGATATTCCGATAGGACAGGGGAATTAGAAGGTACATTCAGTAGCCTGGCACACTGGCAAATATTTCAGGGGTTTAGAAGTCTGGGCCATTGTATTAGTTCATTTTCATGCTCCCGATAAAGACATACCCAACACTGGGGAGAAAAAGAGGTTTAATTGGACTTACAGTTTCACATGGCTGGGGAGGCCTCAGAATCATGGCAGGAGGTGAAAGGCACTTCTTACATGGTGGCAGCAAGAGAAAAACGAGGAAGATGCAAAAATGGAAATCCTTGATAAACTCATTAGATCTTGTGATACTTATTCGCCACCATGAGAACAGTATAGGGGAAACTGCCAGCATGACTCAAATTATCTCCCACCAGGTCCCTCCCATAACACATGGAAATTATGGGAGTACAATTCAAGATGAGATTTGGGTGGGGACACAGCCAAAGAATGTCAGGCATGCTGAGACATTTCCCCACATACACACCCCAAGATGAAAGACGGCTGTTGCACTTTCACTACCATTATTAAGGGAAAGCCCAGCATTTGTGACATTCCTTTGGATTTTGGAGACAATACAAACCCTACTTGGGAATATGACTCCAATGTGTTTATCAGATGACTTGGAAAACTGCCATTCTCAAGTGAAATCCAGGGCAAAAGAAGACTCTGCAACAGGTTCAGAGTGGTACTAGCGGCCTTACCACATGAAACATATTACCTGGCAGATCCCACAGAGCTGCGTTTTATGATGGGTTCTCTGGGAAGTTCTTTAAAGATTCACAATGCTAACATCTTGGATTCTGGAGACAGAAGAACTTCACGAGAGAGAACTATTTGCTCTTCAAAAATCAGCTTCTAGCATGTTTGTGGGTTCTACTAGAGACTGGCTACCTAAGCGTGGGCATCAAATAGCTCATAACCCAAGATGCCTATCATGAGCTATGTATTGTCTAACTCTCCAAATCACAAGTGCTTGTGGGCATATTAGCAGCTCACCACAGAAAGGAAATGGTACACTCCAGATTGGGGGAGGCTAACCCAGAAGTGATAATCAAGTTATATGAAGAGGTAGCTCAGACCTCTCTATGAAGCTTCGTTGTACAGATATCTGTAATTGCTTCATGGAGGGTTCCCGAAGAGCAGCTGGTAAAGAAAGAAAATCCTGGGCTTGGTTCATGAATGAAATAGCTGTTAGTTTTAGCAGAAAAGGACAGTTGCCGCGCTGACCCTACTCAGGGGTCATCGTAAAAGACAATGTTAGTGGAAAAATCTCCCCAGGGATAACATACACCCAGTTAAGGCCGAGGCGGGTGGATCACGAGGTCAAGAGATCGAGACCATCCTGGTCAACATGGTGAAACCCCGTCTCTACTAAAAATACAAAAATTAGCTGGGCACGGTGGCGCGTGCCTGTAATCCCAGCTACTCAGGAGGCTGAGGCAGGAGAATTGCCTGAACCCAGGAGGCGGAGGTTGCGGTGAGCTGAGATCGCGCCATTGCACTCCAGCCTGGGAAACGAGAGCAAAAAAAAAAAACAAAAACAAAAAAAAACATATACCCAGTTATTACCTAGGTATGGAAAGAGACTGACCTAAGGTTGGATATACTCGGATTATCAGGGCATTAGCTGGCGGCTCAGCTGATTAGCTAAAGAAGCAAGATTGGATGCACAGAGGCCTGGGGAAGGAGGATGAGGGTAGACCTGCAGGAATAAGCAAAACATGTACAGGCAGATCTGGTGTGCAAAGAATGCCCAGAGGAAAGCATTCATCTTCAAAGAGGCTCTAAACAACCCGGTGTAGAGAATAACTTACCCAGCAGAGATCAGCCAGCATCTGTCATCAAGACACCCTCAAGGCATATAGAATGGGCCCATGAATACAGAAACCATGTAGCAGGGATGGAGGCTCTGTGTGTACCCAGCAGCCTGGGCTGTATCCTGGGAGGCTGTAGCCTGGGAGGCTCCTCTGCCTACTATAACTGATGAATATTTGACCTGCACGTGGCAGAAAGGAATGCTGAAACTTAGTGCCATCTTTTGGGGAGACTGACTGTATTAAGGTTCTCCAGAGAGACAGAACCGATAAGATAAATGTATATTTAAAAGGAAGTTTATTTGGGAAAATTGACTCACATGATGACAAGGCAAAGTCCCACAAAAGGTTATCTGCGAGCTGATGAAAGAGAGATGCTAACAGTGGCTCAGTCCAAGTCCCAGAAACCTCAAAACCGGGACAGCAACAGTGCAGCCCACAGTCTGCAGTCAAAGGCCCAGGAGCCCCCCGAAGGCCTCTGATACAAGTCTCAGCATCCAAAGGCTGACAGACCTGGAGTCTGATGTCCAGGAGCAGGAGGAGCAGAAGCTTAGCAGCTTCCACCTAGATTTCAGAGGCTGTTCTAGAAAGCCTGCAGGCAGAAGCCTGCCACAGGGGCATAGCCCTCACAGAGAAACGCTACCAGGGCAGTACTGACGGGAAAAACAAGATTGGAGGCCCCGCACGAAGTTCCCACTGGGGCACCACCTAGTGGAGTTATGAGACAGGGCCACCGTTCTCCAGACCCCACTCCTGGTACCAATCCAGTTTCCTGTGTTAGTTGTTTGTTTTGCCATAAAGAGGTACCTGAGGTTATAGGTTTACTTGATTCACAGTTCTGCCAGCTATACAGGAAGCATGGCACCAGCATCTGCTCCCAATTTTGCCATGTGATACGCTGGTTCACCTTTGTCTTGGGCCATGCTTCCCGAGGCCTCACCAGGAGCAAATGCTACTGCCGTGCTTCTGGTACAGCCTGAAGCACCATGACTCAGTTAAACCTCTTTCTTTATCAATCACTCAGCCTCGGTATTTCTTTGCGGCCCTGTCAATGCACTAACACACCAACCAACTGCTTTATTACATCAGATTTCTATTTTTGGAAGAGCAAGCAATTTGTCTTCTGAATTTAATAAATATTCCAGGAATAGATTTGCCTTCCCAGCCTCAGGCAACACCACTACTGAGGAGCTCTCAAAGTCTCCACGTATTGCAATAAGATCCTGTCTAAACACTTCGTAGGTACTTTACAGTGAAAGATGCGTGACAGTGAGTGCATGGCCACGGGACCCGCTGGTCCTACCATCTACTGCGTGCCAGAAGCTCACAGAATGCTCGAACTACATCTTAAAGGCAGAGCTCAGGTGTTAGCTAGGGGGTGTTGCTCTGTGAGGCTGGGGTGCAATATGTACCTGGAACCAATAATTATAATTGCTTCTTAATACCTAGAATTGAGGTGGCTCTTGCCACCAAGGAGTGAGAGTGTAAGTATCCCCTTCTCCATTAATTGCAGTAAGTTATTTGAAGAGTTTATGCTTCATTTTTATGCAAATTTAGGACCAGCTGCGCTAGAGATCCTAGTTCCTAGATCAGTGGAAATACTGAAAGAGACAGAGGAGTCCACAAAGAGTAAAGTTATAACTCACTCCCAGTCATTTTTATTCTTCATGTTAATATGCCAGGAGGCAAAAATAGTTATTATTTTGGCAAGAGTAACTGACCCAATAGGGAGACAGAATTTTTTTTTTTTTTTTGAGACAGAATTTCACTCTCATTGCCCAGGCTGCAGTGCAGTGGTGTGATCTCAGCTCACTGCAATTTCCACCTCCTGGGTTCAAGCGATTCTCCTGCCTCAGCCTCCTGAGTAGCTGGGATTACAGGCACGTGCCACCACGCCCGGCTAATTTTGTATTTTCTTAGTAGAGACAGTTTCTCCACGTTGGTCAGAGTTTCTCCATGTTGGTCAGTTTCTCCATGTTTGCCCACCTTGGCCTCCCAAAGTGCTGGGATTACAGGTGTGAGCCACTGTGCCCTGCCCTGGAGACAGAATTTCTTCTGTGTAATAGAGGCAGGAGAAATCATGTCTGGAACTCGGGGGATTTATAGGGTGTCTGTTGCAAAGAATGTATATGTATTTAGACATACCTATATATGTGTGGCTTTTTTGTTTCTTTCAGAATTCATGACCGGCCACGACTTTGAAGTATCAATGGCAGGATGGAAAGAACTTGCCACGGGGCATGAGTGGGACTGAGCCGTGCAAGGCGCAGACTGTAGTAGATGCTGACAGTGCTCCACTCATACACTCACTCTTAACCATTGTGGTGTGCAAAGCTGACTTCCACCTGTGCGATGGCACTCTCTGGGGGCCAGAGCGTCTGCCCATCCACATGGCAGGTCAGAAGTGGCTAAGAACGAATGTCCGCCAGATGCAGCATTCAACCAATGACTGACAAGAATGGGGGATAAATAGCACAGCTCCTTTCCATGTCAGGGGAATAACTCGGAGGCAAATGTTCTGCAGTGGCCCAGGGTTTCTCCGTGGGTTCTAGTTATGCGCGGGAACTTGTTCGATCACCATCCCTCTATTGGCTGTCACCTCTCCTCTGCTTCACCTTCCTGTCCCCTCAGCAGAGTATCCTAGGATTATCCCCAAATAAATGACTTGCACTTCTTTGTCTCATAGTTTACTTCTAGGAGAAATCAAACTAACAAAGATTCCGAGGACATGGTTGACAGGATTCCACATGTGACACTCAAACAGGGACCGAGTAAACTATTATGGCGTGGACAAGATCACCTTTGGGGGGCGGTCATTGGGTTGTATGCCAAATGCAAACAGAATGCAGGCCTCTCTCTGGTCCCACTGTAAAAAGCAAGAGATCACAACCTTGCTGTGGGCTATGGAAGACTAAGGGAGGCTGAGCTATCAGTGAGCAGAGACTCAGTTCTAATACATGACCTGCCATATTGAATGATCTCTGTCCAGTGCTCTCATCTGGTACTTCCCAGGAATCAAGCCCTTTCCTTTCTTGGACAAACTTCTCTCAATCACCTCTCATCTTACCAAACACTCTTCTGTGACTCTTCCTCACTTCGGCTCCCTTACTCCACATCACACACTCCCACTCCCCAGCCCATCCTACTCTTGCCTGGTTTCCTTCCGTGGCACTCCACGCCTCCCTAAAAATTACCCTTCTCTTACTCTTTTATAATAATTGCTGAAGTCCCATTAAATCCACAATCTATAACTTTAGCAACTTATTTAAATAACTTTCCTTTTCTTGAGTGCAAGGAAAATTTCATTCTCAACCCCTTCCAGGAGATAAGAAGAAATGTTTGTGCACCATCTTTCACTAGCAGCAAAGCAAAGAAAAAAAATAGAGACACTCTAAATGGTCACATTTTGTTACATATGTGAAAACAAAACACACAAAAACATAAATAGGTTTAATTTCTTGTTGGCAAAATTGTGGGGGTGTTGATTGTCTTTATTCTTTTCTATGCTCTCCTAAACTTCTAAAAGATACCACACCTACTAACTTAAGAAAATGCAACCATGTACTTTATTTTAGAATCCATAGATTATAAAGGAGTCCAAGGACTCTAAATCTATGTTTTTTCTAATGTTTGCCTATATACAAGAGCAAAGAACTAACAGGCCTTACTAACTTAATTATTGATTTATTTTCCAATGATAGTCTTTCAGATTTAAAACATGTCATGTCACACAAGTAAAAATGAATCAAACTCTGTGAATTAGAATACTACTTACTTATTAACAACCAATAATAAAACTCTGAATCATTTCTTTCATCTGTATATACCTACAAACAGACCTGTCTAATGTAATGAATACTGAATGTATTCATAATAAAAGAAATTACTAACCTGGCAGCCATAACAACAATTCCAGCATCAGTTAAGTTCAAAACTAAACTATACGACAGCTGATTCTGTCCAACAATGAAAGATCCTCTAGTCGGCCACCATTAAGCACTGGAAATTGGCTCTTCTGTGAAATTCCTCATAAAATCGCAAAAGATCATCTGGTCTGAGACAGGTAATAAAAGGATAGCTACTATCCTTCAAGACAGCCAAGGGAATCTTTCCAAGCTGCTTCTCCCACTCCTCAAAAGCATAGTGGAAAACAGCTCTGAGGCACAAGAAGAGTTTCTGTTAAATCTCATTCACTTAAATCCTACGTATAAGAAAAGAGCTAAAAGAGGGCAAGTGCCAGGCGCGGTGGCTCAAGCCTGTAATCCCAGCACTTTGGGAGGCCGAGGCGGGCGGATCACGAGGTCAAGAGATCGAGACCATCCTGGTCAACATGGTGAAACCCCGTCTCTACTAAAAATACAAAAAATTAGCTGGGCGCGGTGGCTCACGCCTGTAATCCCAGCACTTTCGGAGGCCGACGCGGGTGGATCACGAGGTCAAGAGATCGAGACCATCCTGGTCAACATGGTGAAACCCCGTCTCTACTTAAAATACAAAAAATTAGCTGGGCATGGTGGCGCGTGCCTGTAATCCCAGCTACTCAGGAGGCTGAGGCAGGAGAATTCCCTGAACCCAGGAGGCGGAGGTTGCGGTGAGCCGAGATCGCGCCATTGCACTCCAGCCTGGGTAACAAGAGCGAAACTCCGTCTCAAAAAAAAAAAAAAAGAGGGCAAGTAAAATTTGAAAACTTTTCACTATATTCTGGATTAAGTTCTTTTCTTAGAGCTGTCTGGAGCCATTTAACGAAGTACGTAGGAAGATAAAAATTCACAATAATACGTTCAGTACTAAAAATTAAATTTAGTGCAAGTTAATTTGCCACAGTTCACAGTCCCTGAGGGAGACTGTTTGAACAACAACAAAAATACGACGTTTCTAGAATAAATCAGTCATCAAGTATTAGGCTAACTCCCATGAAGTTGCCTACGCTTGATCATTTTTTACGAATCAAATTTTTGTGGTTCAGCCTAATATTTTCTCTCACAGCTGCACAACTTCAAAACCCTTAGAAATGTAACTTTGGTCAAAATACTGATCTGAAAAACTGTGTGCAGAAAAATGGTCACAATCCTTGATCTCATCTTCCTGAGCATGTTAAGCTGGCAGGGGAAGAAGGACTCAGCATAAGCTGATATTCCATTTTCAATTAAAGTTCAGTTCCACATGAGCAAAGACCTGAGTTCTTATCTGAGTAATTTGCATAATATAGATAACCAGTCAGAAAAATTGAGTTCAAAATTCTTTGTTTTCCCCAAAAAGCGACTTGAATTAACTGTTCCTATTGTTCTCAAGCTGATGTCCTTGGTCCGGAGCATCATATCTGGGCAGGAACAGGAGGAGAAATTATTCTCTTTGAGAAATTGTCCAATGCTGTTGCCTTCGCAACAATTTTTCAAGTAATATGTTAACATAATTGTTGTAGAAATGATGATGCAAAGATGTTTAAGAGAGAAGAAATACTGGGAAAGTCAGATCCTTGGAACATATATCTTTTGCTCGCTCTTCTATCAACCAATGGCATACCATCCCCAAGCCCGACTCTCATCTGCCCAGCCACTCCCAGAAATTCTCCTTCTGGTGTCAGAATGCAATTTTTCCCCTGCCCTACACTTTTAAAGGAAAATGTGGAGCCTTAAACTCAGAAGACCCCTCAGGAGTATTTTAAGGAGGTTATCATTTATTTCCCCCGTTTTTTTAACACTAAGAGAGCATTAGTATCTTGGAAAATTGACTCCTACTTCTCTGGATCTTTTCAGATTCTCAGACCAGGTTCTCCTTATTTGTTCAGCCTTAGTTTGGGGCTACCTGGGAGCTTGGTCCTGGGCCCACCTCTCTTTCTCATCTTTCTCTCGGTATCTCATCTTTCTCCAGGTATGTCGTGCCTGTGCCATCAGATAACATGCATGTGCTGACAGTGTGCGAATTTACCTCTCTAGCCAAATCCACACATCCAAGTACTACTTGACATTTCCACTTGGATCTGTCTTCCTCACAAGTAAAACTTAGAAGCTGAACTCTTCATTTTTCTCCCCAAAACCCATTCTATATTCTTCATCTCAGTAAATGGCACCCCAATCTCACCAGCTGCCAGAGTCAGAAATCTAGGAGTCATCTGTGACAATTCCCCTTCCTAACCCTACCACAACCATTACTGTCTTGTTAATTCAGCGTATCACATGCATCTCAAATTCATGCACCTCTTTCAGCATCACTGCCAGCCATCGTCTCTCACCTGTACTACTGCAATAGTAAAACCTACCAATTCGTTCTTCACAAAGCTGAAGACAGAAAATAGTTTAAAGTACAAACCAGATAAAGTAAATGCCATCAGTGAAACCTTTTGAAAGCTCTTAGGGTATAATCCAAGACCCTGCATGATTTTGAATCTGGTCTCCACCTATCTCTCCAGCCACTCCTCTGCCATTCTTGGTCCAATCCTACCACACTGGGCATCTGAGCTACTACTGCCTTACCTCCAACAGCCCCGCTGCTCTTCCATCTACTAAACCCTTAGGTTTCTGCTTAAACGTCACTTCCCTAAATAATGACTTTTCCTGACCCTCCAAACTCAATTGGGCTCCACCTATTCTTCTTCCTCGTAACAACCTACACTTTTCCTTTAAAGGACTTATCACAACTTAATTTATACGTGGATGTCTTTAATGCCTTTCTCTCCATTAATCTATAAATGCCATGAAGGCAGACATCTATTTTGCCCACCAATATAGCCAGAGTCTAGCAGCATGCATAAAACCTAACTACCGTTTGATAAATATGTGGAGAATCTGAATCAGCTCTTGACATCAATCATATATCTTCGGGCACAAAGCCCACGTTAGAAAATAAACACATCAAATTTCTTGTCTTTTTCTGGAATTGTATCAATTCAGTTTGATATCATAGTTACTTCATGCTGATAAGAAACTTTGTTTGGCTTTTAATAATGAATTTTTAAAGCAAAAGTTTGTGTGTTTATCACCATCATTTATTTATCATAAGTACAATTTGAGAAATAAAAATGTTTCAAAAGTTTACTAGGAAAACAGTGACAAGTGGGGGTCCTGGCAATTTAAGTTGAGAATTGACCTGCAGATTGAGCACAACATTTACAACCCCTCCCTCTGAGGCTCTCACTGAAATGACGATAGTTTAAAACAAAGAAGAGAATAAATTCATAGCAGAGGAAGGAGTGATCATTTAGCAGACTGAGGGTTTGAATGATGTCTAGAAAATAGAAAGCAGGTGGAATTGTGCAGACGGAAAGTGGGGAGTGGGGCAGGCTGCAGTCAAGAACAAGCAGAGAAGGCGGCTGCAGGGGAGGAGGAAGCCATTCTTTCCGGCACAGCTCAAGCAAAACTCCAAACTCAGAATCGGAGTGGGAAAGGGGCAGAAATCAGGTGATCAATCAGAGGCCTATCTGCAGAGCAGCTGCAGTCAGCCCAGCCCCACCCACCCGCCTACACGCCCACATGGGCAAAGGGACTGGCAGCCAGAGCATTTTCCCCCAGCCTAAAATCAAAGAAACGCTCTCTAAACAAACTAAACAATATGCCCAGGAATGTCAGCGTTCCTAGCATGAATGTGTATACCACAGAATTAATTGCTTCTTATTTAGTAAAGAGGGAGAGGGGCCAGCTTGTCTATATCCTCCCTGCTCACACACTCCCAGCTGTGTATGTGCACCCACACGCTGTGCACTCACAGTCAGCCTTACAATTTAGGGGACTATCTTTGGAAATACAACGCTACGCAGCATAGCAGCTACCAAGATTCATCAGTCAAGTCCTTCATAGTGCTTATCGCATTCAAAGCACAAGTTACATGGTAATATAGTAAGAGTCGTATAAATATTTCTGGAATCAGAAAATTATTGAAAGATAAAGGCTTCAAAGAACCTGTTGCCTAGTAGAAGCCTTAGAGTCATCATTCTCCTGAAGCTCTTTTGCAGTTCTCAAAACTTGTGACATTTGCATTTTCCTACCTGCATCTTCTACAGTTTCAGGGATATTACTTTGTCCTCTTTTCTTCCCCTTTTATCTGAT